CAACTTGATTTCTTTTCTCTTATTACTATACACATACGTACATAGACAGAGAGAGAGAGAGAGAGAGAATAAAAAAAAATGAAAGTAGATTCGCCGTGCTGAGAATAATTTCCGCTGTCCATTATTTTTCTTTTTTGTTTGATATTCTTCAAGCATTCAATTGTATGTGGATTCATAAGGTATAAAGAACAATTTCAATCGTCGATGCCTATCGAATGTTGTCTATTGTCATTATTACTCTTATACTTCAACAATTTTATTCAACTTATCAATTAGAAACAATTCAAACAGCTTTATCTAGTACCGTTGAATTAGCCTGTTCACTCACGAATCAAAATATTGAATCGACAAATCCTGCAAAGGTAAATACCAACAAGGACATGTATTTATATATCTTGAGCTATTCAAAGAAAAAAAAAACAAACATCCGAGAACAGTTTCCAAGGGATAAATAATACTAATGACATCATGAGTTATGAACAACTAATGAATATATATAGACATTAAACATGATTTTTCTTTTTTTTGAATATTAAGATCGTCTGGATTCGTGATGATCAAGCAGATATTGTCAGTCTTGATTCAATTATAACTGTACGAGATCATCGTTTAAGTATTTTATCAATGAATAATATTGATCATCAAGATAGAATTTTACGTATAACAAATATTGAAGAACAAGATCATGGATTATATCGTTGTATACATGGTGATATAACATTAAATGAAATATTTCTTGATGTACTTGGTAAGTGTTGTCTTTTTTTGTGTTATTCTTTAGGTGATAATGTATGTTTTTATATGATCATATCTTTATTTTGATCCTTACTTGAATTCATTTTGAACAAAACAAACATATGTCTGAGGATGTGCATGTGTATATATTGACTGACCTTCTCCTCATCACAAGTATGTTGTTGATATGCACATAGACATATATAAATGAAGAAACAAAAACAATCCGCCTTATGCGTTTACATTTAGATCTTATACGTATATATAAGCGTGTGTGTGTCTGTTTGCATTGTCCCTCCTTCTTCTTATGTTCAATAGGAGGTCTCATCAGACATATATAAATCTGTGAGCAATACACATTTGATATTATGAAATCGTTTAACACCTTTTTTGTAGACGTGCGATTTCCGTACGATGAAGAAAAAAGAATATTCGATCTGTATAACTTCCGTTTATTAATGATTATTTCGTGAATAAAATAATACAAAGTTTATTTGAAAGATCTACAAATTAATTAGTGTACATTAATCATTCATTATTTTATTTATTGTTTGATGATTTATCTACTGATCGATTGTTCATTTCATTCTTCTTCTTTTTTTTTTTCTTTTTTGTTGTTGTTGTTCTTGTGTTCACGTTCTCATTCGATGTCAAATATAAAAGTGGTAGTAAGTGTTACTCTTATACCATTAGAATATAAAACCATCTGTGCATTGAACATACACCTAAACTAATTGTTTTTCAAGTATGACATCTACACCTTAGTAAATGACTATTCAATGAAGCATTAAATGAAAAGACTATGAAAACTTATTCTCTAGACGATAATAATAAACATAAGAAAATGATTGATATGATCAATAAGTGAATATTCATCAAAAAATCACGTTCATCGTATTAGTTTATTGATGAACACTATTGATTTATCTTTACACATGAGACACATTTGATATCTATTTTCTTTTTTTTTTAGTCCCACCACGAATTATTTCTCATTCACCAGAACATATGCGTATGACAGTTCGTGAAGGTAATGATGTTCAATTCTCATGTACAGCAACCGGTCATCCAACACCAAGTATTATTTGGCATGTCAATGGTTTATTAAAGTCAGATTTAGTGACCATGAGTATGTCAAAAAAAGAAAATTGACGACATCCGGTCACATACACACACATATATATATATTTTTTTTTCTAGTTGAAGGAAAAAATGAAAGTATACTTATCTTACGTAATGTTTCACGTTTTGATGCTGGCCGAGTTGATTGTTCAGCAAGTAATACATTAAGTACTGTCAATCGACAATTTCTTCTTTATGTTAAATGTAAATTTGAACTTTTTTTTATTTTTATTTTATCTTATATATATGTAAAAAATTCTAGATAAACCAATATTTACAATTCCGTTTCAATTGTTTCATTTCCGTTTACATGATTCAGCAACAATAATATGTCAAGTTTGTTCAATACCATTACCAATAATATTTGACTTCTTTCGTCCAAAACAATCAGATCCAATATTAAATGGAATTAAAGAAAAATCTGATAAATTTATTAATCAAACATGTAGACAATTAACAATAACTATTTATGTAAGAAAAATAAAAATCAATAATAATAATATCCATTTTTTCTTAATATTTTTTAGTTAAATGATGCATCTTTATTTGGACCATATGTATGTCGTGCAAGAAACTCATTAGGTGTTAATCATGCTGAATTTATACTTAAAGGTTTTTTAGAAAGATTGTTAGACATAAAACCTTGATTAATCTATATATGTTTTTTAGAAATAATTCAATCAACGAAACGTATGAAATATATAACAGAACATCGTCCTTCAATAACATTGTCTATGATTACTAATTTATCTTCGACATTGATGATTAATAATGAAAATGAATCATGTAAGTTTTTTTTCTCTAAAGATTGAAATAAAAACCAAATAAACTAATTTATTTATTTTTATAGCTAAACGTAATATTCAATTAAATAATAAAATAATATCTCAGAAAAATCAATCATATAAATCATCAATATCAATTTTATTATTAATAATCTTATCCTTTATAATGATCTAGTCGTAGATAGATGATTGAAAAAAAAGAAAATTTTTTTTTTCTATTATTTTTGTCCTTTTTTCTTCTTCTTTTTTTTACAGTGATTAAATAAATATCTAGAATTGTTTTAAAATAAATACTTTATAACAATTTAAAAAAATAATATTATATAAATCAATCTATTGAAAATGAATAGAAGTTAATCCTCATCGAGTTTAAATTCTTATCGTATTCATTTTATTGGCAAACAAAATTCTTCTTTATCATAATAAATCTTTAATGGAACCTATTGAGTTCAAATCGGATAGGTTCTGTTGCAAATGTAGATCTGAATACAATAAAAAATACTTAGGGTAATTCAAAAGTAGTGTCGTCAAGAACTTATTCCCTAATAGTAAGCTAAGGAAAAAATTTCTTTTTTACCAATAGATAGAGCGTCTTTCACTCTATCTTTCCATGCTATTTGATCATACTTCAATTAATATCATGATAATAAACTTTCAATAAGATTTATTTCCTTAGCATTTGTGTTGGTGGTACTTTTTCATTGCAGTTTTCAAATCATTAACATGTTTGTATTGACAATCAAAATATACCATTAGATGCAGCACGAAAAGCTCTATAATTTACATAAGATCATCTACTTTATCGTGGCACTTTTTATCTACGAATGGATCAAAGTTTGGAGAAATTGAACTGCTACAGTGGAAAAAGCTAATTTTTGATAAACGACAAACTCATTTTTTTTTGTTATTTCATCTTTCTTCTTCTGATATGCTTCACAAAAGTAAAACAAAATACATTAGAAGATGTAGCGTGAAAAGCTCTACAATCTGTGCAACAAAACTTGTTGTAATTGTTTTCGAAACATCTAAAATTGTTCGTTCAAAATTTTGTTCATTTTAAAAACAAAAAGTACAAAGATAAAATAGGTATTTCTATCTACATTGTAGAGCTTTTCATGCTGCATCTAATGGCTCATTTTAATTTTGAACACTATGTATTAGTGATTTGAAAATTGTAATGGAAAGCATGTTTATTTAACCTCTGTAACCAGAGTACATGCTAAAAAAATAAATCTTATTGAAAGTTTATTATCATGATATTAGTTGAAGCATAATTAAATAGCATGGAAAGATAGAGTGAAAGACGCTCTATCTATGGGTAAAAAAGACATTTTTTCTTAGCTTACTATAAGGAAATAAATCTTTGACGACACTACTTTTAGATTGCCCTAAGTATTATATTCAGCGAGTTCTATTCCCTATTTGAATGGCAAAAATAAGAGGCGAACGACTATTTTTTGAATAATGTTTGACAGGAACAAGATAAAGAGCTGAGGTTTTCACCATTCGAAAGAGTGATATTCGGACCATTGGTTGGTATGGAACTCATTAAGACGAAATATGTTTTTTTTTTTATAAGCATCTTTAGATCAACAATTTTTTCTTTGTATATATTTTGATCAATTTTCATAATAATCTCAACTCAAATTATGTCAAAATGTAACTCAAATCATCCTTTTTTCGTTATCTCTCAACCTCTTGTTATAAGTGAATTTTACAAAAATAAATGTTAATTTTATAGTGAAAAAAAGGATGATTTGAGCTACATTCTTGACATAATTTGAGTTGAGATTATTGTGAAAATACAGAAAGGAAAAATTGTTGATTCAAAGATGCAGATAAACAAACATCTTTCGTCTTAATAAGTCCTATATCAATCGGTGGTCCCGACATCGCTCTTTCGAATAGTGAAAATCATAGCTCTCTATCTTGTTTCTATCAAACGTTATTCAAAAAAGAGCCACTCGTCTTTTATTTTTTTTTGTCGGACACTAGTTTATGTTCTAATATATTCTCATACAGATAAGTAATATCAAACAGATCGCTGTTTTAAGTCGAAGTTTTGCGTCTCAGCGCACATTCCTCATAACGACAACTGTTCCAAAGCCTTGGTTAAAATTGGAATGGCAAGATGCATTTTTCAATATTCCAAATTGTGCAATTTAAACATTTCTGTTCTAAATAGAGAAATAAATAAAACAGGTCGATTCCTTTGTTCTAAAACAACTATAGTCTATCACAACATTGCTGTGTTGACAATCTTTTTTCATAAAAATCATCTTGTCGAACTTGATCATATGTATAATTAGTAGTTATCTATTCGAATTTATTAATTAGAAAGAAAGAAAAATTGACATTTTATTTTTGTTCTGGTTTATGTAAATGTTTAGCTTTCATATCAATTAAAGGTAAATGAAGTATTTTATGTAATAGTAAAGTTGATAATTGTTCAAATTGATCAATATCAATATTATCATCATTAGAATTATTTTGATTATTTAAATCTAATAATGATTCATGTTTTGATACAGTTAATTGTGTATGATTAAGAATTTTAATATTTTCTAACATTTTCATTGAATATTCATCATATTGATTATATTCATTATATAATTGTTTAAGTTTAAGAATTTCATTTTCTAATTGATTTTTTTCATTTATTTGTTTATCAATAATAAGTTTTAAAGCTTCTAATGTTGATAATGGTCCAGTAATTTTCTACAAAGATAATACAAAAAAAAAACAAAAAAATCTTTTCAATATATTTTTTTTTCTGGAAAATTTACAGTTAAATATTTATTTTTTAATTCTGTTAATTGTTGATCAAGTTCCATATTTGTTTTAGCACTTATTTTAGCTGCATCACTATCTGCTTTAATTCGTTTTTTTGATGTTTCATTATTTATTTCTCCATTTGATAGATAAATTGAACATATTGATGGTGTTAATAATGTACTATCATTTGTTGTTGATTGAATAAGTTCATAAAGTTCTCGTTCAATTTCTAATTGAACATAACGTTCGATTTCTTTTCGTATATGAATTTCAAGTTCAGCTATATCATCAGCTGAACAAGATGAACCTTGTGTTAGAGTAGCTTCGAGAAGATGAAGAGCCATTTAAATGAAATAAAGAACCAAAAAGAAAAAATGAATATTGAAATGCAGAACAAAGACATTGATTTATAGCGACATCTAAAGAATTTTTGCATGAAGACAAAAAAAAATATAAAGAAATTTTTATTTAAAAGAAATTAATTAAAATAATGCAAATTTTGAAAAATAAAGAACTTTTATTTTTATTGAATGATTTCGACCAATTACAAGTTTAAATAGAATTTCAAGATGCTTGACATACAGAATAATTAATGTATTCAAAATATTAAAATAAACTACAATTTGAATCATATAGATGTAATAATTAATATAAACATATGACAAGAATATGAAAAGTAGCTTTATATTGCAGGAACAAGAGACGTTCGCAGTGAAATTTTCTCATCATCGATGAATTTTGTGAGAACCGAGGTTAATTCTATTCTATTGTCTTATCGAATTCCAGTAATGGATCATGGGGAATTGAGGAAGGAAGGAGCACTCATGATCACAAAACATAATTTGAAGTCTATTAGAGATCGTATCGGTTCATTTTGATGTGTTTTCTGCTAAGAAAAATCGAAAAATATTTCAGAAGGGACAAGTGATCACTACTAGTGTGTAAAGATAGACTTTATTACATTTTAAATCTGTTCTTTTTTAAGAATACCTATGAATAAATATCGTGTACCAAGTAGTGTAAATTTATTACGCGCACGTGAATATGGTCTTGAAAATTCTTTTATTCATATTGAACAAACACGACGTCTTGCTAATTTTACTCTATGTAAATATCGAAATTTAACATCTTATCATCATTCATCAATATCAACAATGTCTTTAGAACAATCAGAATATCGATAGTAAATTAAAAATTATATTCATTAAATTTTTAATTATTTTTTTTAATTTAATTATTTTAGTCTTTTATCTGGTGGTGCTAATGGACATATATGTTGTCATGATATGTTTCCTTCAAATTTAGTTGTAAAACATCCAATTATATTTCAAATTGATCGAAATTCTAATCAAGAACATCATACAAATAATATTTGTTCACTTTTATGGTATCCAAATGATAATGGTTTATTTATAACTCTCGGTTTAGATAAAAAACTTAAAATCTGGGATACAAATCGAGTGAAAGTAAATAGAAGCAAAAAAAACATACACACATATAATTAAATATAAATCAATTTTGATTGTTTTAGACAGCTGATGAATATGAATTTAATAATTTTGCTTATTCAGCTCATATGTCATCAACAACAAATACATCAATTATTGCAATTGGACATGAAAATGGAGATTTACGTTTAATTGATATTCGAACTGGTTCAAATTCACATATAATTCATGCACATAATAAAAAAGGAATATGTTTAGTTAAATGGTTTAATAATAATCCACATTTATTAGCTAGTGCAGGGTAAGAAAGAATTTCTTCTTTTTACATTCATATAATTGAATAAAAAACCAACTTTCAAAAGTTATATAACTTTTACAATAAGTACATGATCAAATACATTTTTGCACAGAAGAGCAGATTTAGGAGATGATTAAGAAGGTCAAATGATAAATTCCGAAGGAAAAATCTGGATAGAAAGCTGTACTTCATACATCTTACATAACGTTTTATCAAAAATATAAATCGTTTGAATTTTATTTTTTAAATTATTGAATCTTCATTGTATTTTTTTTAATGTTTGTAGAGCCGATGGACAAGTACTTTTTACTGACATTCGTAGTTCTCGTAAAAATTATATGGCACTTGATCGTGATAATATATTAACAGATAATCAACAAGTAAACTCTCGAACAACAACATCAACATCATCAATAGCTCATCATCGTGGTGTAAAATCTCTAGAATTTTTACCAGATAATTCACATTTATTAACACTTGGCGGTGATAATCATATGTATTTATGGAATGTGAATAATGGTCAACGTTTACTTGTTAATTATGGTCCAATATTAACTGATAATATTCGTATTATAACATTAGCATGTGCACAAATGAAACATGATCGAACAAAAAGTCTTGTTTATGTTCCATTTGGAAAATCAATTCGTATTTATGATATTTTATCTGGTGAACGTTTAACAACATTAAATGGTCATTTATTACCAGTTAGTACATGTATATATAATCGTTTATCTATTGAACTTTATACATGTTCGGATGATATACTTGTTTGGGCTGCTATTAAAAAACAACAAGAAGATTATGAACTATCAATGAAAACTCAAGAACGAAGATATGAAACAACTAGATCTTTAGGACAAATTTTAAATCGAGATCAATGGAGTGACGATGAAGATGAAGTTTAACTTATTTCTTTATTTTATTTTATTTTTTGTTTTGGTTAATTGTTTTTTATTATGTAAATTTATAATATACAGAAGTTTTTAAAAAATATATAGACAAAAAAACAGTGATATAAACTCATCTAATCTAATTTTTATTGTTGTTTATAAATAGTAAAGAGAATTCTAAATCAATCATTTTGATGCAAACAAAATATTTAAAAACAAATTCAGTGTAATGTCGAGTCGTATGCTGTTGTTATTAGAAAAATTTGCAATATGATTTCAAATACATGGAAATCATTTAAAGTCGACATAATAATATTGATATTTCTATATGAGCAATAAATATCTAACCCATTATTCATCACCTAAAGTGTTTCGAAACTTTTAACCTACCTGTTTACCATCTAAATAGGAGATATCTGTAGATTATCACAATCATAAGAGGAGATGGATTCATGTTGCAAGTTTTCTGAGATATAAAAATTTTATTAGAACTTCTCTATTGAGTTTTGATTATTCAGCAAGATTCTATTTTTGAATTTTAATCTCGAACTTTGTTCACATAGACGACTCAACTAGACTAGCTTGTATAAAAAAAAATCTCAGAGTTTTTAGACATAATTTTGCAAAAGTCCAAATAGTCTTGATTTTTTTTTGCCAAAATTAGTCTAGTTGTTCCAAGAAAAACTTCTATATCTCAGGCAAATCGTAACATAGGCTCATCTCTTTTTAAGTTTAGTCTGGCCTATAGCTTCTCTAAGAATGTATCAGATATGATATCAAAAACTTTGAATCATTTCAAGCGATTTCCTCAGAAGTCATCTACAATACTGTTCAAAAGTATAGGACCAACGTATTTTAGACTTTGTCTAAGAAAACAAGCATCTGATTAAAATCAAAATAGCGGTTTGAATAACCAATGAAGTCCTCTGTTAAATGCATTCCATACAGAAATTTCATAAATGAACTATGAGAGAAATATTTCTGAAAAATCAAACACAGTAGTTTTCAGGTTCCAAAAGATTTTGTGGAAATTAGTTTTTCAAAGCACAAAATTTTGAATAGAATGAGAGGTTGCCATATTTGCTACGAGCTTTCCTTAAAAAGTTATAAGCATCACAAAGAAAAATGAGGGAAAAAAAAGGCGAAATTTATCATAACCTTACTAAAAAAACGCATTTTTTGTGATGTTGATAACTTTTTAAGGAAAGATCTTTTCCACTAGTAATGTATATGTAATTAAGTTTTGTTGTGAATCAATAAAACTCATTATATTTCATTTTACATGTTGAATATGTACGCATCCATTAAAATAGTAATAAATATCAAAAGTAAGCGATTTACCAAGTTTACAGACATATGTAAAATTGTATCAAAAAAAAAAAGATTTATTTTCGTTGAATAAAATTTAATCTTCGAGATTGTGCAGCAAAATTTGTTTTTAATCGCATATGATCACCTTGATTTTCAAATTGATCGATTTTTTTAATTGTTTGTTGTTGATTAAGTATTAATAAAATAAATTTAAGAAATAATTCTGTTAAACGATTTATTATATTATTAAATAAATAATCAATATCATTTTCATATTTATTTAAATAGATTAAAATAAAATGATAAAATAATAATTGTGAAATATTTTTATATGTTAACCAAAAAATAAAAAATAATTTTAATTCATAATAAAATGGTATAATTAATGAAATAATTTGATCAAATAGAAATTCATATATTTGAAATAAACTAAATAATATCCAATAACATAATAATGATTGATATTGATCATAATATTGATATTTTATTGATTTATATGTTTGATATAATGGATAAAGAATTCCAATAAGAATAGATAATAAACGATAAGTTAAAAAACTGATTACCATTTATTTGTAGGAAAAAAAAAATATTAATATCTACGCGCATATTTATAGTTGCTACTCTTTTTCATATTACCAAGAATAGAATTTTATCGATTTACTTTATTGATTAAGAAAAAAAAAAAGTTTCGAGTTTACTATTAAATATGCAGGAAGCAGAAAAACTAAGAAAACACTAAATTCTATCGATTTCTTTCACTTTATCCTGGTAGTTAAATCTTACATTTATAAGGCCCTCCCAACAGTAGTTTGTTAATTTATTATCGAAATCAATGAATTTTTTCCATTCCGACTCGGTTTCGGATAGGTTAGATGGGAGTGTGAAGTGGATTGTTGAAGGTGTTCTTTTCTTTAACACCGACACTCTTACCTACTTCTTACAGACATAAAAAATATTATCGTATTGTTTTTTGAAGAAGAGAAGATGTCGTTCAAAATGTTTCTCAATGCATTCGTGATCGATTTATTCGATTTTCTTGATGTTCTTGATCTTCTCGCGTCTTCGAAAATCTCAAAACTCGCTTTAACATTTTACTCAATATTCATTTCCGAAATCATCGTTTAGACTTTCGACATTTGTCCAAAAACTATTTCGATCAGAGTGTATCGACATTGTGAGCTACGAGTTGTGAATCCAATCGGTTAATTTTAAGTTGCTGATGGCAATGAAATTTCAAATCTATTCGTTTTTTCACTGTCTTTCCATTTTACTCTTCATTAATTAACAAAAATACCATTACTTTCTTTCTCTCAAACTGAATCGGTCAAGATCAATGTCATGATCGACAATTCATATTATCCCATTCATCTAAAAAAGTCCCTATGTACACCAGTCTGGAATGAAAGTGATGACAACAGCATTATATGTTTGATCAACAATATCTAGTCTCTATTGAAATTAATGCATTGTGACCAAGTTCTATTCGATGGATCGATTCTGATATTTGCACGGCTAAGAATTCAATCATCAAGCATTGAGCTTGTTATGTGAATCTTGCACTTGATTATGCAAGCAATCTACCAAAATCTATTTGCAGAGTGTGAGTGAACAAATATTCTTCATCAACACCCATACCCTCAATATCAAGAAAAACCGATATGTTGAAAATGGTAGGTGTCTTTCTATACAACACTCAGATCCAGGTCCGCAGAAAACTCATATATTGCCGGTTGTGTTTTATGAGAGCGTAGTATGTAGGTCTCCTCCTAACCCACACTCACACCCAACATCTGATTCTATCAGATTTATCAGAGGATGATTCAACAGGTGGAAGTGATGGAAAATCTGCATTAGTTTATAGCAAGGTCTCGAATAGAGGTTTATTGAAGAGATGCAAGGCACAAGATCGGCAAACTCGTCAAGAATTAAAAGTTAAACTTAATAAAAAAATACATTACTTCATACAAAAATATGCTAAGACCGATGCAAGTAAGATGTTCATTCAAAATAATAACCACATTTGTATTTTTTGAAAATTTAGCTGATAGTACTCGTCTGACCGAAGAAATCTTACACAACCTGAATATTCGAACCGATCATTTGTCTAATTTATTGAAATTTATGTGGCACAATACGGATTTATTATTTCTAAAACTTGATAAAAATAATTTGGTTGATATACTTTTTAATTTTTATCGTAGTGATTATCTGAATAATTGTAAGTTATCATATATTTTATCATACGTTTATATTAGCTATTTATGTTCAGAAAGTGCATACAATCACAAAAAAAGAAGATAATCATCAAATACAATCACAAATGAAGGTCGAATAAAAGGTAAACGAATAATTTATAAATTAAAAAAAAAACAATTAATTTTATTTTTTAAGAAACAAAACAAATGATTGTATGGTGTGGAAAAGTGTAGTTATCACGGTCAGAAAAGCATTTTCATTGTTATGTGTTTTTTTTCTTCATTTTGTCTCTTATGGTTTATTGAGTATTGACATAATCTATTCTTTGAACAAGAAATAATTTCTGTTTCTCTCTCTCCTTTTGTGCTGTAAAGCCACAGTTACAATATTGTGATGTTACTTAATCCTTTACTCATTGTTACTTTTTCGTTTTTTTCTTTCTTAATTTCATTTCAAGATTAATTTACATATTTACTTTTCTTTCGATCGATGACATTTAATAAAACTAAGGATCGAAGAAAAAAAAATATCTATTGAAAGAAGATTTAATTTGTTTTTGTAGGATAATGGTGCAATGAATACTAAATAAAGTTCAATGAAAATTTCGGAGAAAAATATAGGTATAAATTTATTTTTATAGGAATGATGATTCACTACAGTGAGAACATCAATCAATAATTATACACAACAAATAGTAATAGAAAAAATGAAACAATCATTCTAAGATTAATTTTTTTTTCGAATATTTTGAGTTACATGAATTTCGGCCCCGGTTGAAAAATATTCGGAATTTTGGATCAGAGCGAAAAGTCACTGAAATTTTCGGCCGAGTCGAAAATTTCTTGGACCGAATTTTTGAACCTTCGATACTTTATCAAAAAATCTTTAGTTTTATTTTCTTTTGGTATTGAATTAATTATGGTTATTTTATTCTTTTGGTCATCTTCAATCATCGTCACAGCCTATAACTATACACTATTTAAGTCCACTTGTTCTTCGTAAAGAACCTGAGAATATCACTGAAACATCTGATTCGAATAATAATGATTTATTTAAAATTAATTTAACATAACAACATCCAATTTTATTTTAGAATTTGGTAAAAGTTTATTATTATTTTTTTATGATTTCTTATTTATTTAATTTTGCTTTTTTTCGACGTATTTAAATATCAAGTGTGTGAGTGTGGGTGTGGATGGGTGTTACTATTGTCATCTGCATCCACACCCTAAATAGCCTAGGGTTTTTATTACCTACCAGAAGAGTACGACATCTTTATTTTCATGATCCTTCATGATATAAAAAAAACTCTGACAATTCTTGATACGCTGGAGATTCTTTCTTTTCTTCTCCATTTCTTGCGAAAATAACGACGGTTTTATTACTCAGGTAAGCGTGATATAGAAACAATGTTGACATCCAACTGTCTCTTCGATCTCATCATCATTGGATGTGGTGCAGCCGGTATTGGTGCTGCACTTCAATTACAAAAATGTCAATCAACTACTCGTTTTATCATTCTCGAAGCTCGTAATCATGCAGGTGGTCGAACGTTTACCGACACGCAAACCTTTGGTGCAAAAGCTCCTGTCGATTTAGGAGCTCGTTGGCTACATCATTATCATCCAGATAATCCTTTTTATACTTATTATTCTCCATCAGACAAAGACCGAATTGATAATAATACGTATGATAGATTGAAAACAAACACCTTCGATACAGATGGTAAACTGATTCCACTGAATTTGATTGATGAAGCCGAGATAATCTTTGAACAATATTGTACAATCATTGAAAAATATCCATCCGATAAAGAAGATATCTCTATATTCGATGTCATTCGTGATGAATACGCGAAGATTGAAAACGAAAAAATGCGACGTCTTGTTGGTATGTGTCTTGCTTCCATCGAAGATCACGAAGGAGCAAATCTAACTGAAATCTCAACCAAATCTTGTGAAATCGGAGAAGGTAACATCGATGCACCCATTCTCACAATTTCTGATGGATTGGGTTCATTCATCAAGCAGATAGTCGATCAAAATAATCTTCCTATCGAGTTTAACACTGTTGTTACTCAGATTGATATTTCCAATCAATCGAATAGACTTATTCATATTTCGACATTAAATGGTCGTCATTACTCATGTAAATATGTTCTCATTACTATACCACTTGGTTGTTTAAAAGCACATTCGATTGTGTTCATGCCATCCATACCTGATTGGAAAATAACAGCTATTGATAAAATGGGTTTTGGATTATTGAATAAAGTTTTTCTTCAATTTTCATCCATATTTTGGGATGAGAAATTACAAAACATTGATGTTATTACGAATCATTATTATCAGTTTTATGTCTGTATTCCTGAAGCTCGTATTCTAGTCTTGTATATTGCTGGCAGCCATGCACGTGATTTAGAACAACAAAGTGATGAAGAGATAGTTAAAACACTAGTTATTTCTCTCCGTCGAATCTATCCGCTAATGACTGATCCTATTAAATGGTTAGTAACAAGATGGACATATGATCCATACTCATGTGGATCGTACTCATACTTTGCTGTGGGAACTGATTTAGAAACTGTGAAAGATCTAGCACGCGAGTCTCATGATGGTCGTGTACATTGGGCTGGTGAACATACAAATTATAGTGGATCGATCGGTTATGTTGACAGTGCGTTTGAAAGTGGACAGCGTGAAGCGCTACGTATCTTAGAGAAACTTGAACAGTCTTAATTCAATTATTCATTCTCGGATACAAAGAGTCAGTGGAAACGATTATGCAAAACATATTCTTTTTATTTTTTATGCACATCAGAACTATCGCAAAGTTACTAAAATACAAAGATAAAACTTTATGAATATATGATTAAGTAAATAACTGTCACGAAATACATTAGAGTGTTTTCAAAATTCACAAGTTTCTTTATTTCAAGCTTTCAGTAAGAATTCTCATCATCGTCAAGGAACAACAACAAGGGTAGAGAAAAGTATTACACATATAAACAAAAGGAAAAAAAGATAAAAGGAACTAATTAGTTAACAAACCAATATAATTGAATAAAAGAACTATATATTCGTGAATATATGTTCGAAAAACATTTGGTTTTTTCGACCCATTCACATGTCATTAATAAAGGACACGGTTTTATTCATCTTTATTATAATAGAGAGTGGAAATAATATTTTTCATTATTGTATACATTTAAATCATTAGTTCATAATTCGAGTAGATTAAAAAATATAGATATCTATATGTTGGTCAAATATCGATAGTAATTGTTGGACACTTATAATCGGTAATGAAGGTAATTGGTAAATTAGACAATAAGAAATGATAACTGTCAAATAAGAGTGATTATTAGTGTAGTAGTATCCGATGGATAAGTAGTGTATATCTAACATTTTTTGTACATGATGAGTAATAGTATAATTATTATAGAGTATTATGGTGAATTGTATTTGGGATAAGTAAATTATGCATGATTATTGGTTTATGTTATATCAGTTGTAGAGGTTATAGTAATGCTAAATAATATACAATTATTATGATTTTTGTTTTGTTGCAGGTGATTTTCATGTTTTAGACAAATATTTTAAATTTATTTTTTACGTCATTTGATGACTTTCTATAGCTATAATGCGCAAAAAACGCTTTCTTTTGTTATTTTTCTCCTCTAATCTGTTTCGAGTAACAAGACTTTTACATTATTAAAGTCAAAAGAGTGATATTTTTGAAGAACATACTGCACAACGTTTGAGTTCTCATATGCATTTCATATGTCGTCTTGATACTCTTTCATTCGTACCGCTATTTCTCTGCTAGTCTCGCTATAATAGCTAAGTTCGCAATCTTTGCATGACATTTGGTATATTAGTTTTTTTATGTTTTTCTCTTCATCAACACCCATTTATTCAGGCTCACAGCCACAACTACTGCCACCCCCACAACTTTTTCGATTCAATTTTAAGAAAATGATTTCAAATCTTTTATTAAGATAAAAAATTCACTAGTTCAATCCGTATTTCAGGAAAATGGTCATTGTTATGATAAACAAAAAGTGACGTAGACAAAACACGAAAGCAAATGAGTTATATTTCAATGTTAATAGAGACTTCACATAAGCATAAACTAGTTATTCAGTTTTCAATTTTTCTACTTTCATTTGCAATTGTTGAAATCGTTCTTTGAATAACGGTATCTTTTTCCAAATGACGATGGCCTTCTCAAGTGATTGACAAGCATCATCTATACATTCACCTTTCTCTTCATATTCCGACATCTTCTCATAGCTTTGTACCAAGGAGATTATATTATTGTAAAGATCATTATTCATTTCTTGTACTGCACGATAAATTTGTTCAAATGTTGAATCCGTAGAATACAGACGAGTGACAATAGAGTTCGGTAATGTTTCATTGTAGAGCGTTTGCACTTCAGTCCAATACCAACAAGCAAGAGTACTCTGATCAAATTTGACCAGCGTTTGACCAATGCCATCAGTTTCCTTCAAAGTGATATTTGTCCATACTTCTTTCTGTAAATTGACTAATTCTTTCTTGAATTGACTAATGCCTTCATTATTTTCCATCTCAGTCATGTAAGAGATAATTAATCGACAGAGAATAATTCGATCGAAGATGGGAATAGACGATGAATAAATATCAACAACCATGATATTTGGACGATACTCTTCATCTACTACAATATATGATTCTAATAATTTTAATATACCATAATTAATGGCACATTTCAGTGTTACTTGCTTGTGAATATTATCTTGAAGAAGACGATAAATATGTAATGCCTTCATCCAATCTTGATTGGAAAGGTGATATTGTCCTATTTTCATAAACATAAGGATTGATTCAGCTGGTGGAATTAAATCTGCGAGTTGATTCCATTGGAGATCATCTGATAGTTCGTTTTTGAATATCAGATCAAAGAGTGTAATGAGATTATTTGGAACCTCGTACAACTTTTGGCAGATGTCAAACATGGCCACCATTGATCCGGACACTTGATCGAACGAATCAGCCATTCGTACTGCTATGGTGAAGGTTTTCATGTAAGCTTGTAACAAATTGATCCAAATATTTTTATCAGGAATTTGTGTTGAATTCGACAGTGAATGGATGGCCTCTGTCAGGAAAGAGTAAAATAGTTTGATCATCGGTAATTGTTCGGATTGAAATTCAGTTTGAGACCATGTAGGTGTTAACGTTTCTTCCAATTTTGAAATGTGTCGTTTGAAATATTTCAATGCCATTCTATCATCATTTAAATCTAGATAAGCTTGAGCAATTTCTTCCAATTTTTCCTTGTCAATGAATGATTTCGTCGACAAACGACGTTGAGATTTAGCAGATTGAACATGTCGTTCATTTACATCTTGTTCTTCATCCTCTTTTTCTTCTTTTTCTTCTTCTTTTTCTTCTTCTTCTTCTTCTTCTTCTTCTTCTTCATCATCACCATCACTATTTGCTTTCGAATTGGATAAGTTCACTTTATTCTTTTCAATTAGTTTTTGAATTACTGTCTTAATCGTAGTTTGATCATCTTTCACTTTTTCCAACGCACTTTTCCAATATCGATCTGCTTCAGTGAAATTCTCTTCGTCATAATAGAGATTTCCAAGACGAAATTCAATCGATCGTTGACGATCTGTATTTGTTGTTTCTTCAAGTGCTTTAATCAGATTGTCTCGTGTTGTTTCCTTCATACTCGAATAGAGTTTATCATAGGCATTACCTAATTCTTCATACCAATATGTTAGATCTTGTTCATCATTACTTTCGAATAGTGTCAATTTTAATTGAAGTTCAATCGCTTGTTCATATAAATCAGTTGCATCTTCATCATCATCCGTATCTTCTTCCGCTTGTAATAGAGTTCGAGCGAGGCAGAGACGAATAAATACGAAATTTCGTAGAACTTGAGCAAATGTATTGCTGTTGGTTAAGCCAAGACGACTTTTTACTACTGTTTGTAATTGTTCCATTGTTATGTTCGTTGCTTCTTCGTCTTCAAGTAATTCAACTATAAATGTTGGAAGAATTTCTTTTAATGTATCGATTCTTGTTTGTTGATGGATACTTGCTGTGGTAAAATCTTTCTGTTGAGCTAAGACTTCGGACAGATGAGAATACATTCTAAGTAATGCTTTTACATCTTGTTCTGTTTCTTTCTCATCATCGTTCTCACTTTCATTCGGTGCTTGAGCTTGATCATAGAATTCTGTTGCCAATTCAAGCTTATCCATTCGACAGTAACAATCTCCCATGAGAAAATAATTTGCACGAATTTTAGGATGACCACTTGACATATTATCCATTTGAATTTCAATCGCTTTTTCATAATATTGTACAGCATTTTTGTAATCCTTCTGTTGAAAATTGCAAGAAGCTACTAATTGATAGTTACGTATGAGACTCGGATGATAGGATGAATAGAGACGTTGTTTTAATTCAAACGAAGTTTGAGAACATTCAAGAGCTGATTTATAGTTATCTTCAGCTAAATAGCTTTCTGCTAGGTAATCATTGATAATCATACGTAGACGTATCGCTTCATTATCTGCTATGCTTTTTAATGAATTCTCAATTCGTAGTAATTCTGTTATAGGTTCTTCATTGGATGTGATCTTTCTCACTGTTAATATACGTAAAAGTAATGCGATTAATAGTGTTGTATCGGGTTTTTCCAGTTCTAGAATTCGTTTGTAAACAATCATACTTCCTTTCAAATTGCGTTGAGAAACACAGACATTTGCTAGAAGAAACGAACTTTGTCCTCGAAGAATCTCGAGGACTTTGTCATAGCTATACATTTTAGCATAAAGAATAGCGAGATATTCTTTTGGTGCGTCGGTGTTGGATAAATAATATTCCAATGCTGTACGATAAGCACTTTCGACTATTCGAATCGATTGTTGGATTTTCGATACACGAGCTGATGACAGAAGCTCATCAAAGAAGACTTTTTGTTCATGTTCAAGACCTTTCTTCCAAATTTCCATCGCCTTATTGAATTCTTTCTGATGAGCAAAACAAGCACCAATATTTGCATAGAGATTGGCAAGATCCAATTGACTGGTAGTATATTTGTTCTCGTAATCTTTTAATAATGAGAGGAAATGTTCATCTTGATAGTTGATTACTGCTTGATAATTTTTATTTCGAGTGTATTCACAAACAATATCGATATGAGCTTCAGCCACTTTGGGATGAGATAGTGGAAGGATACATTCGTAGATTTTCAGAGCTTCGTTGAATTTTTCCGTTGCTTCCGTTGGATTTTTGCAATTTTTGACACTTTTCAAATGCCCAAAGGCAATGCATAGGTCGGCTTTTAATAAGCGTTTTTCGAGAGCATCATGTGAGATTTTCGAGCTTTGATTGTATAAATCATAGGCTGATTCAAAATGACTTTCTGCTTCATTCCAATCACGTTGAGCATACGCAACTTGACCTAAATTACAATAGAGCGAAGCTAGATGCTGTTGAGAATGTTTTGGTTCACGTTTTTGAATACGAATTCCTTCTTCAAGATTTTGTTTTGCTTCTTCTAATTGATTCAATCCTAGATGAGTTTGTCCAATATTATTGAAGATCTCGGCTAGAGCATTATTATTCGAGAACTGTAAACGTGCTTGAGTATTCAATGCTTTTCGATAATATTCTAACGCTTCACCATACAACGCTTGACGAGAATGAATTGTACCAAGACAATTGTATACTGCGACGAGATTAGGATCATTTTCCAGTTGTTTACTTTCGATGAGTTGACTCAAATAACGTTTGCATACTCGATCTTCACCTAACTCGATCATATAACGAACGAGTAAAATACTCAGAGTTGCTTGTGATGCTTGTTTGACTTTGGCTGTCATTTCATCGAGCAAAGTCAGATTGAAATCTCGTGCTGTTAATTTGATACGTTTGATTTCTGGATTGTTAGGATCATCACCAAGACTATCGATTTGAAAAGTCGAGCCCATATTGAACAGAACTTCTTCTTCTCGAGGATGGAATGAAATCGATTGAATATCGGCATAAGCTGAACAAGGTAGGACTGGATCGATGGTAATTTCATACATAATGACAATATCATTAGCTCGTTTCTTTTTTAGTTTATCTGCTGCATATTCCAAACTGATTTTTTCATTTCGAGATGTTGAAATGAATCCATTAATGGTAATTCGAGCATCCTTTTGTGTTGTTGATTGTTTGATAATTTCAAAATCTGTAACACTTAATTTATCTGCTCGATAGACGATCTGTTTTTGTGAGACTCGATTTTGTATATAAGATCGTTCAATCATTTGGCATAAATCACTGATATAGTAGCGATGACACATCAAAAGTTCGAAGTTTTCCAAACGTAAAATATTATTCATTTGATCAAAGATTGGAGCTTCGTTACATGAATACCACCAAATGGCATTATCAAAATTAGGTGCTTCACCACTCGAAAGTTCCGTTTGTGTGAATGTCTGAACCTAAACATACGATAATTTAACTTCAAATATCTGCGTACTATACTAGTGAAAATTCTCTCTGATGATCAGATACGATACATTGGTTTCGAAAAAGCTCAATAGAAAAACTTGCCAAACAGATCTGTCATAGACGATTTGATCAGTCTTTATCTTCTCGATCATGCATTCAAGCTAGAAGAGAGATTGAATCAAGCCATACTTACTTTAACTGTTTTCTCGCCAGAATCAGTTTCCTTTCGAAAATAGGACATTCGAAATGTTTCACCATATAATCGCTTATGTTTCCATCGATTTAATTTATCTTGCTCTGGTTTACTCTAGGAAACAAAGAAAAGACAATGATTCTCTCAATCAGCGCTGAATGATTTTGCTTAACATACTAAATTAATGCCGCTCATTTTCGGACGTTCACTTTCTATGTATTGTTCACATGTTTGAATCATATCGTTTCGAGCAAGTTCCATATCAAAACGTGTAAATGCATTGTTTTGTTTTCCCATAACGAGAAAAATTTCTTTGATTCGACGAAACCATAAGTATGAACAGAGAGCTTGAGATAAATCTTTCACTGAAGTTTTTTTTGCCTGAAATACTTTGGTTGGTAAGACGAGATCGGTTTCGTCATGGATAGAATCATTTATTATTGATGACATATTCTTCGAAGGTACGACAGCAACAGGCTTTATATTTTGATGTTTATTTATAGCTGGTAAAGGTGTTTTTGCTCGTTGGGACATTGAGGGATTAAATGAATTTGACATACCGGTTGGTATTGGTCTTCGCTGTTCGAAATTTTCTTGAAGATTAGATCCTTCTCGCGGCATAATCTTATTTTCCTTCAGATCTTCCTCATCGTATTGAAGAGAATCAACTTCTTTAGTTGACACTTAACGGTAATGAAAAGAAGCACAACTGATGAATGCAAAAAAAAATAAATGTAATTTTTTCTTCTACTTGCTTGTCGATGAGCAAGAGAACGAGATGAAAGATTTCTCCATGGGAAGAAATCCTTCAATGGATGTTTTCACTTCGATAAGAAAGAAAAAAACGGCTGAAACAATCAAGAAAGTGAAAGTGTATGACAATGTTATTTTTAAAAAAAATGAAGTAATAAAAAAAAACCGTCCTTGGTTAAGTAGAATCCGCATCAATAATTTAACTTTTTTTTAACAGAGAAACGGAGAAGGCCAGTTTAGTTTAATGCTTTTTTATTTTATTTATTCTAATAGTTGTCGGAGATTTTACAGAAGTAACAGGATGAAAAAGACTGCTTTCTTTTCCTTTTTTTTCAGTTGGTTATTCTGAGTATTGCTCGTCTTTTTCCTGAGAAAAACTTGACAGAGAAACGAAGAAAATTAGTTTAGTTTATTTTTTTTTAATTTTACTTATTCCGATAGTTGCTGAAGGTTTTACAGAAGCAACAGGATGAAAAAAACTGCTTTCTTTTTCTTTTTTTCAGTTGGTTATTCCAGGCATTGCTCGTCGTTTTTCTAAACAAAACCTAAAAAGTTAATTTTGTTTGACTTTTTTCTTTCATCATTTAGTTATTCTGAAAATGATCACGCATTTAATTAAAAGAACAACCAATTAACTTGGCTTCGTGTTCTTTTTTTTCTAATAATTATGCTCATAGTTCGTCCACTTGTTCTGAATGAAATGGGAAAATGTAGTTTAATTTTTGTTTCCTGTTTCTTTGTTGAATTATCCTAAAACTTCTTGCGAAAGAAAATTAATTCGCAAAATTAACCTTATTTCTTGTTTCTTCATTTAGTTATTCTATTATTTCTTGTGTGTTTTATCGAAGAATTAAAATCAGATAACTGAATTTCATTGGATTTTTTTCAGCTAGTTATGTAGAGAGTTGTCAATTATCATATTGAAATGAACCGAATAGTTTGGCTTTGTTTTTCTCTCTTAAGATTTACGACGATTTTTCTGGATCTCATGGAATAGTGAATGGTCCATTTCACTTTTAGAAAACATCCGAAATGCTATAGTTTAGATTAGATAAGTATTTATATTATGAAAAAAATCGATCGTTTTTCATATTTTTTCTCCAGTTGTTTTTCTCTTAAATTATATGGAAATCCCAAAAATGTCTTTACCGTAGGATGATCTGTCGGCGTGGCTGTGGATTTCACGTAACAGTATACAGCCATGCTGACGCCCACACCAAACGTCAAGTCGGCCATTATTTTTGTGTTTGAAAGAGAAATATGTGGGTATGGGTGTGGAATGGGTGTTGGTTAGTGAAGAGAAAATCCACATCCACACCCTCAGCAACAATCGACGGATTCTATTTGGAAGGTGTCCATTGTCATACAGATTATGGGCTAACAGCCAACCCTGCTGCATTTAATTTAATACAGTCAACATGAGAGAGATGGTTTGTAAGAGAATCAAAATGTTCAAAACAAAAGATATCAATTGAGATCATAATTGCAACTGCATAAAACTCTCGAAAAATTGAAGAAGAGTCTTATATTTGAACAAAACCCGTTTTGTAACAATCGTTTTAGAAACGATACGAATTGCAAGCAAGATGAACCTCGACTTCAAACATTGAAATAAAACAAATAAGAAATTCATGTATTATATTCTTCAATCCGCTATCTGATCTATCATAAGAAAGCATCAAGTAATATATTATTTTCATCAAGTCTTTCATTCGAAAATTGTCACTTGAACGATACGATTTAAGCTGATGAATCTATTGTCATTTATTTTTTTCTGATTTGAAAATGAAAAAGTCGTCTGAGAACAAAACCAATCTGCTACTGATATTCTTATTAAGTAAAAAAATATGCGCCGATTTCGAGAAAAGAAATCAATATTTGGATAAGACAAAAACCCTACTTGATAATCGGCCTTAGAACAGATGCATACATTCCGATTGAAAATGATTACAGACTAGTGAAGAAAAAGAAAGATGCGAATCGTATCAGTGTTGTTTTGGGTAATCTTGTCAAACTATGCAGATCGTGTATTCACTCAAACTTGCAATGCTACTTATCCGTACAGTCGATGTTCATCGAATCTTGACTGTGGCTGTTTACCATTGACGCGTTCAGGCAATGGTGGTGTTTGTGCATATCTGAATGTTCCATGTACTGATTTGATTCCATGTGAAAACGATAACCGAACATGTACTGAAGCTCGGCAAGTGTGCGTTAAACATTCTCGATGTCAAAATATTCCACTCTGCTATCCATTGGATATGATTCATCCGAATTTATGTCCACCGACAACATGTATTTTTAAAAAAGATATAATTTCAATTATTGCTAAGTTTGTCTTCTCGTTCAGTTCGGCCATCATCATCAGGATCGAACAATGATCTTTGTGAAACAACAACATGGCAACAACAAGGAATTACGATACTCGGTACGAATTCGACTCAACCTATTTGGAATCCATATGATGATGACGAATTCTTTGTCGATGTTGACGAAACGATTTATATTGTGGACTATCGTAATGATCAAGTGATCAAATGGAAAAATTGGAATTCACCAGGTGAAATAGTAGCGGGTAACGGTAGTTATGGCAGTGCAAATAATCAGTTAGATAGTCCAAACAGTATTGCTATCAAAAAGGATGGAACAATTTTTGTTTGTGACGCCGGTAATTACAGAGTGCAACGTTGGTACAAGAATGCTCAACAAGGCCAAACTATCATCGACAATATTTATTGTACGAGTTTGGCATTGGACCAAGAAGAATCGTTGTACATTGGTAGCCCAGGTCTTATCATTAAATGGCCGGGAAATCAGATTGTTGCTGGTGGAAACGATGTTGGTACGAAATTGAATCAATTAGGTTATTTGCCAAGAATATTTATCGATCAAAATCAATCGATTTTTGTGGCTGATGAGGGTAATCGCGTGGTTAAATGGACCATCGGTGCCAGAGAAGGCATTGTTGTTGCTGGAAACAATAAAGCAGGAAATGATTCGAGTCAATTGAATGGACCAAGATCAGTGTTTGTTGATCAAATGGAGAATGTCTATATTGCAGACACTAAAAATCAACGAGTTGTCCGCTGGTTAAAAGGATTAAGTTCAGGCACTGTTATCGTCGATTTAAAAATCACCGATCAATACTTCGATCCGATAAGTTTCTCATTTGGTCGCAATGGAAATTTATTTGTGCTCGATAAATATATTGCTCGTGTTCAAATGTTCACCATCGATAAGAATACATGTGCTCGTGGTTAGTCCTACAGAATTTCCCAACGATTGACTCCGATCATTTTTCTGTTTTTTGTTTTCGTTTCAATCATCAAATTCATCAATAAATATCCAACTGTCCATTTTATCGATTGCAATTCAATTATGCCAGAGTGCGATCACATTGTCGTGCAGTTGTGTCACAATATAGAGGCTGTGCAAAGTGTGTCGCATTACGTACACAATAAATCAATCTAACTTAGACCGTTTGATTGAAACATTTTTAAAATAAGTTAACCTTAGTTGTCATTTTTTAAATTAAAATATCGACTCTGTTTCGTCGTGTTTTGAATAGTTATGATGGCAATCGATTTTCTCATAATTTTGTAGAATGATAATCGCATGAGAGAGAGAAAATAAAATCATTCAGAAAAAAGTGAAATGTGAAACAGAAAGGTGCTAGGAAATAGACAGACGCATGTTTTCTATGGAACGTGGAAGAAAACAGTAATAAAAAGGTGTCCGATGATGTTCAATGAACGGGTCATCTCACGAAGATAAAATATAGGAAGGTGGATAGGGAAGCATGAGGGTATGACTGTGGCTGTGGCTTTGAGGCGTGGGTGTGGGTGAACAGAAGATCAACACTCATACCTCAACCCTACACCCTACACCCACACCCACACCCACCATCAGAGATGTTTCTAGATGATTAAAAACTTTTGAGTTCATGCAAAACGTTTTACAAGTCTTGAGATTCGACAAAAAATAATCGCGAAACGAATTTTTTCAAATGATGTTTGAGCATTCGTGTAGGTCTTTCAAATGAGATATCATTGGATGGTATGTTCTCTTGTAATAATAAAACCTTAAACGTAAGAATCTGATAATAATTTTTTCGAAATGGATCATTAAAATATTTTATGAGAAAAAGAATGGAAGCATTTTCATTTTATAAATGTATACATTAGTTTGATTGCACAAATGTCTGACTTAACTATTACCAATCCGTTTTGCACCATGATTTACCAGTTCAACAAGTCCTCTAGGAACTTTATTAATAATTTTATCAAACCCACACTCTTTTTTATTCTTCAGATTTAAGGTGTTTTACTCGATGTTGGTAGGAAAATTTCAAGAAAATCTCAGAGTGCCATAACTGTAGAGTCGTGTACCTGTGACATGATGGATAAATAAAAAAGAAACAGTACGATATGTGTATTTATTGGAAAAAAGAACGGATTTACTACTGGGAAAAAATTATCTTGTTTCTGGAAGGTATCCCCTTGTAGCATGGGATAGAAATTTATGTAAGGCAATTTAACAAAGAGTCGTAGAATATCCGTACTCTTGTCGAATTCGATCGAATTCGAGTATTAATGCTAATCGACGATTCAGACTCAATTTAATATCATCATACGTTTCATTTAGATAAACTAGAATTGAAGTTGTTTGTTTAGGTGATGCCATGATAATACAAGTGCTGGAAAGTGCAATTGATACGATGAGTGAACAAAGAGTTTTTTCAATGGAACCAATTGAATTCTTGTATAGCTCAAGAAAAGGAATGATAGGTAATTTAAAATCACGATAAAAGAGTACGTTCTGTTGAGATAATTTTAAAATAAGTTCCAAAGTTTCATTATCAATATTAATTAAAGCAGATGGAGCGATGATTAACGGCCATACGATTTGATCGGATAATGTTTTTTGACGATTCAAGTTGGCGAAAGAGGAATAATTCTGTAAAATTTTTTGAAATTCTCCTGGTGTCATAATTGATTCATGTGGTTTGGCTTTATTCTGAGCTTCCTTTAAAAATTCTGGTATTTTGCTTTGTTTGTCAAAAAGTGGCGGAATGAATAAATCAGTATTAATTTTTAAAGATTTGAGATTACGTGTGGTAGGTCCATTGTGAATTAGACAATGAAATGCATGCAAATCTTTTGGAATTTGATCATAGATATTTCTAACAGCAATAATATTTGTTTCTGACCATAAGTCAGACATGAAATAAAGTCGATTCGATGGATTTTCTTCGAATAAATCATTTTTCCATGCTTCTAACCAAACTTGCTTGTTAATGACATTCTCAAAACATTCAAATAGATATGCATTGGCACAATCATGTGGTCGACGTTTTCTATTAGACATCCATTCTTTTATAACATCTATGACTCTCTCATCAATTCTTTTTTTATCATCGAAATCAAATCTACAACTTGCATAAGGAAACCATCTCATTATACGATAGAAATGTCGAAGTCCAACTAAATCACGCGGTTCATAATCAACAGCTAACCAAAATTTCTCGGTACATGAACTTATTCGACTCAAACTAAAGAAGTACTTGAATGTATCTTCCATACAACGATTATATTTTTCTTCGGTAATGAAATCCATTACTTCCGTTTGTTTTTCTGTATTGAGTGATGTCAATGCTCGTCTAATATAGCGAGCACAGAGGTATTCTTGAAAACTACGATGAATAAAATAGTAGCCATTTTCGACAAGTACAGAAATATGATCTCGCGATCTTTGTTCAAGTAGACCAATTTGAAGCAATGGAAGAAATAATGCACCTGCTACATTCGAAATTTGATGACCACTAATAGAAAATGTATGAGATTTTGTTGCTAAGAATGCTAGATATTCTAAATAGGTAAATTCTTTAATACTTGAATGTTGAAAGATATCATGTCCAGCAAGAGCAGATGCACATAGACCATAAAATTTCAGTAAATATCGTCGTAAGAGATATTCATATATTTTCTCGTAAAGATCTCCGGTTGTCATTATATCGTTAAAATCGACTTTTCCACTATCCCACAAAATACAAATTAATTCAAGATATATAGGAATATGTGCTGCTTTTTTCAATGGATCTGAATAACGAATAAATGACCAACATTCTTTGGCAGCGCTATGTTTACATATTGAAAAGTATTTATTTATATATTTTTCTATGTTGTCTTCTGTAAAATTTTGAATATGAACTTTGATATCGTAGTGACATTTGTTTGTTCCGTACGGTCGAGATGTTAGAAGAAGATAATCTTTATCTAATAGTTCTTGTTCAATTGCAATTAAATGATCTGGAATAGTTCGTTCATCACACCCATCAAGAATCCATACGATATTCGATGAACATGAGATTGCATATTCTAATCTACTTTTTTCAAGATGAGAAAGTGTACATCCTCGAAAACATTCTCTCACAATAATATCGACCAATGAATAGTTGTTAGATTGTAGTGGATAGAGTTTTGAATTTAAATTACGCATTCTAATATAGAACAACCAATCGAATTGACTTTCCCATAGTTCTTGACAAGCCCAAGAATATGCTGCATACTGGCAGACTGTTGTCTTACCAGAACCGGCCTCTCCAACTATAAGAACACGAGGTTCTCTGAAGAGATTTTTAAGTTCAATGATTGTATTTTCTTCTTTGAATAGTAAATGGATGAATCTGTCTTTTAATGGACGTGAACATTCTTCATTAGTAACATTTGAAAGTAGTCGACAATGCTTTTTATAACTCATTTTGATTTTCTCTTGTAGACTAGCATTTGGTGTAAGTTTTACTTTATTAATTTCATCGAATTTAGCAAATCGTATGAATCGATCTGGAGAACCCTCGACAAAGCATTTAAATTCCATTTCACATTGCCGGATAAGTTTATTGACCACGTTTATTTCATGTTGAAAGATTAGTTTTTCACAAAGTTTCTTATGTTGTTCTCCAAAACGTGTTCGTAAACCAGGCTCAAAACATTTGACAACGCAATTATCAGCTGCTTGTTCAACAATATTTGGTACATATTCTTCATGTCTTCGGTCGAGATCTTTAATTGTTTTATTAGTATCATATATCAAGGGAATTGCAATACGTGCTTCTAAGTTTCGTTTCACACTATCAATTAATGATTTGATATAATTCTTATTCTCATCTAACTTGTTAAGAGACAATCGACCCAACACTTTAGGTCGAATTAGAGGAACATTAGTTATATCAGAATCCATTTCGTGCATGTTTGAAGGATTCGATCCACTAGGATTATCAACACGAATACTAATATAAGTCTGATCGATTCGTCGGAATGAAACACAGATAGCATGATGACGCCAACCAGTTGGAATAAAATATTCTTGTTGAGGTTGAAGTTGCTTAATTTTGTTAATGACGTTTTCTGCAATACTTTCATAAAATTTTTGTAATTGTTCAAATGATTCTATTTCCTTTAACTGTTGAAAATCCATACTTTCAGTCATTCGTACAGGTATATGTTGAATATCATGAAGAAGATAGTATGCTTCTAAATTGTGTGAAAGTTCATTTTCAATAATGTTGAATGTTTCAGATTCGGATTTGATTGAAATATTAGTTTTCATATCGACTAACCATTGAAAAAGAGCATAAATACGTACTTGTAGAAAAATATAGTTTGTCGATCCAATATTCAACTTTTCTCCACGAAATTTAGCTTTATCATGACCTAAAAGGCCTTCAATTATAATACGCATTTCTTTTGGTGGATATTGACAAATACGATTGTGAAGAAGACGACAAACAGTGAACTCAAGAAACAATTCATTTTCTTCTTCGTTTGATACTTGATAATGATCACAAAAGAATGCCAAATGTTTTTGAAGTTGCGTTTTAGTTGGACTATTACGCTTTCGATAAAGAAGATGAAGTGTACCATATTTGCAAGTTGATTTTTCAGCAGCCAACTGAATAGGTGAGACAAACTTTAACTTTGCCGGATCAAAACGTGATAAATTACAATCGACACCTTCCTTGAGTAATCGTGAAATCTTTCTTGGTGGATCTTTTCGATCGATAGCATCACATAAATATGTTGTGAGTGTCGTAGTCATATGAAGAACAATGATTCTTTTTTTTATGCTTCTAATGGTATTTTTTTCTCAAAAAAAATACATCAAAACACATGCTTAGTAGTTTTAACGATATTTTTGCAACTTCATTATCTTTGTTCTCTTTCTTTTCTGTTGACTCTGTAAGCACCTATTTGATTTCACGTTTTTTTCTTTCCTCTGAGATTTATTGGTATTTTATATAAAACGAAATATAGAAAAATGAAATTTATGATTCTGGTTTCTTTTTTCTCATGTTAAATATATGATTTCGGAGTGCAGTTGTCTTTGCGATTTCAGTATAGGGGGCAAATGTCTTAAGATTAGCGTTGATAATTAGGTATTCTAACCAAACATCCTACGGTTCTTTCAACTTTTCTTAAGCAAATATTTATAATTTCAAAATTGAATACAAATGATATTTCAAATTTTAATCGATTTCTAACCAAACCAGAAAAATAATTTCTTCAACCGATGAAAGTATCATACAAAAGTTGAAAATGCATTATTAACTTCTATAACTACTATTAGCATTAGATCGATAGCACGAAATCAATATTTTGATAATGTAGGCGAATAACAATGGTTTTAAATTTATTCAACGGCAAGAGAGATTCGTTATTTAGCTAATCCCGCATAAATATTAATAAAATGGACATTAAAAAATCGCGATTGTTTTGACAAATATAATTTCATTCTGTATTTTCTATCGATTAGAAAAAGTCGATAAAATATAGAAGGATATGTTTGTAGAAACAAAAACTAAAATATTCAATCTTGCCTATATTCCATATCAAACAAATTAAAAAAGAGATTGTATTTTCAAAAAATTTTGATCATAGATAATTTGTAAGAATGACTGTATTCCAACTCATAGCATTAATCAAAAATTCAATGGAATTACTCTTCAAGCACACCCACACCCAAGATACCCATGAGCGTTAAGTTTTTATTATAACAGATCAACTTTGCAAATAATGTTGCAATGTCTTACTTTTGATCCAATTACAAAAGAGAGTTTTTTCAAGCTTCATTAAAAGAACTGCATAGCATTTATTTTTTTATCTTTTCAAATTTTGCTACATTTCGCCTTTTCAATTGTTTACTACCATTTTGTTAATAGATCTTAAAATAATATTCATGCAATAGCTTTGACCAATAGAAAAGTCAAAATACAGCAAATTTTGACATAACAAAAAAAACAAACGATGCGTCATTTTTTCGATGAAAGTTAAAAAATATTACTTCTTGGATTTCAATCACACCGATATCCTGCAATATTATTAGTTTTGATGATCGGTGCCAATAAAAACTTCATGTTTATGGCTACTATATGAAATAAATAAAGAAATTATATGTATTTATGTTTATACTAGATTTTTCACATACTCTGTACACCAAGAGACAATAAATATTGCTAAATAGATTCATCTCAACTAAAGTACAAGTAGCCAAAGAAATTATTATTCTGTTTTTTTATTAACATGTTAAAAACAAGTCATAAATATTCTATGCATTTTTATCGATTCTCAATTTAATTAAGCATACCGAATGGAAGGGAAATCGAAAAAACGATGAAAAAAATATCAATAACCTATGAAAGAGACATGTAATGAAATTCGATCGTTAGGGTGTGGGTGTGTATGGGTGTGTGAGCGTGGGTGTCTTTCCATCCTCAGTGACATCCGCACTCACACACCCCACACGCACGCCCTAGCTTGAAGATTCAAATTGAATTTTGAAAAAAACATTGTCAAACTACTCACATCACTCAGCGAGTTATCACCCACCCCTGTATCCGTTTCTTTAAATAGCATATAAACTGTAAACTTCGATGAACGTGATTTCAGTTTACAACTACTAATATTTCGACTAGGATGATGAATAATATATATATATGGGCAAGTTGGAAAAATCCCATATACGACTGGAGATAAAACGATGGGAAGAAAACTAATAAATCATGTCGAGAAAATCCTGGCTACGAAATATGGATATTTTCAACACATGTAAATGTCCGAAAATTTTCTATCTGAATGTAAATCACCGCAAAAATCTGGTCTTTTCCATACAATGATAAGCAAGAGTCAAAGATAATGCTACGAAAAGAATGTAAAAGAAAAAAATTGAAATTTGATTTTTCTTTTATTTCGTTCCTACTGTATAATGCATGTAACGGAGAGTAAAACAAACTTGGGTAACTGTTCAGTTCGATATGAAAAAGGATCTCCTATGCAATGATATCAACAAGAACCAATGGCCGCACACACTGAAAGGATCAACGAGTGCATTTATCGAGAGTGAATACATGTGAAAACGAATGTGGTGAGGCTATTTTCTACAAAAATCGAATCGCAGCGAAAGGGTTAAAAAAGTTCGAGAAGTTCAAGTATATATACTTTCGTCCTGCATCTGATTTATTGATTTCTGTTGTTAAAACTTAAGTATGGTCGAACATTCATTTTGGTTAATATGTCCTCATATGAAATGAAGATTATCGTATATTTTCATCTAGTTCGATAGTTTAAAAGGTTGATTCTTTTAAAATATGAAAAGCGAATAGATATCTATCAAGTCCACTCTTCTGTTTCCTTTTCTTATGGCCACACTCATTTAAAAAGGTTAAAAACCAACCAACATCAACCGAACTGCAATCGTCATTGCAAATGAATGGTGAGATTTTAATCTTTTTCTATTGACATGTATCCATCGACAACAGAGAAAATACATTGATTTTAGCTATGTGTTCTATTCTAAGAAAATAGATTAGAGGATATAACTCGTAAAGAGTTTCAATATAGTTTTATCACGCTCTTTATTAATACGGTTATTATTTTTTTTTTGCAATAGATACTGAATGTATAATTGTAGAAAATGAAAAAAGAAATTAAAATTAGAATTGTTAATTAGGATAATAAGCATCAAACAAATGTACAAGCTTAGAAGAGAGGCATTTTTCAAAAAAAGCAAACGTAAGATGTCTTTAAAAAAAGTTAACGTATCATAAATGATTTCGTTGTTATGTTGTTAAGATATGTTTCTGTATCACATATGTAAGAGTACAAAAAATGTTGCCAAAACAAAGCCAGCTGTGCTACCATCATAAGAAGCAGTTGCACGTGAAATGATTATACTAGGGTCAGTAACGATACTCGTCGTCATCCGATTTGTAGTAGTCGTAGTAGCACTAGTTGAAGTAACCGTTTGAATCGTATCCCAAAAGTCACATTGTGTCATATTGATTATGTCAAACGCGAGGCTTTCATTGAATATCGCACCTTGTTCTTCTTGACTCCAGTCTGGCCACCTAATCCCATTCGCTAATATCGGATAACCATTTTTCGACATACTCTGCCATGCTGTCACTATTTCTATGCTCAGTATTTGCTCACTTGCTGATAACTCACATGTCCCATTGGGTTGTGGTAGGTTAGACGTTTCATGAAATACGAATGCAAGTTCACTGGTATGTGTAGCACCTAAGAGAGTGAGCATGGAAGTTACTATTGATGGTGTCCATGGGCAACTTGGTGGATGATTCCACAAGTAGGTATAAGTACCCAGTCGGGTTATTAGTGAAGTTTTGAGAGCACGACGTGTAGGACATGTATATTCGGCGTCGGTAATGACCGCGGCAATTGCATAGAGAGCAGGTGCAATAGTTGAACTGAACATGGAGATCGGATAAACAGCCGAAATGCTGGAAACGAGAGCAGGGCCGAAGGCATTACTCAGGTAGTTATTGTAGTCAGCAGAATTGGTGGTAAGAGGATTGGGAAAAGATGCGACGGCGACCAACATGCCTTCCCTGGTACCTTTTTAAACAAAGTTGCTTTTTATGTGAAGGACCTCAAAATAATTACTAATATTATCCGATATGTAAACCTTAATGGCTAGCAGTCAAACCACTTTTGTTTTTTATAACTATCGCTACAGTTGGACAAAATATGGATACGTATTGGCTCAAACGTTTTTTAATGGAAACCACTATGTTATTATGGACTGTGAAAAATGCATTTTTTGCTTAGAAAGCTAAAACCATCTACAAATAAATAATATTTCCATAGGAATAAAAATGTTCTAATCCAATCCTCTGTACTTTTTTCTAGAACTTTATACACCTGTATTTGAATACTCGATCATACTCTTATGTTGAAATATTAAAGATGGTTTGAGAAAGCAAATACATTTCTAGAACTTTTGGAACATGGTCTCATATTTATTGAATAGAAAAAAAGTGAAATAAAAAAAACTTGTTTGAAAATTCTACAGAAACTTACATGTTCCCGCCATGAATGGAACTATTGGTGAAGTGGTGATTGGTTGAACAGGTATTATATATCCATCGACATGTGCATAGAATTTGGCGGGTAGGGAAACGTATATAGGAGCATTTTGGGGTGTTGCTTGATTGATTTGATCAGGTGATTTCATACGAAGACATTCCACTACCTGATTCGTACTTTATCTTTGCAACACAAAAAAAATCAAAGATACTTACATCACTTGTATTGGAGCAGCCAAGAGCTTCAACGAGTTGGTTACCGTTTTCAATCTGTTGTTCAGTCGTTGTCAGAAGCCTTCCAGCGCCTGATTCCGAGATGACACTCGAGAAAAGACCAAAAGCTTGAGGAAGAGTGCTGATAATGTAAGCCATCATTCCACCCGCTGATTGCCCAAAGAGAAGGACAGTTTTCTATGTTATACATGTCAAAATGATAGGCAAAGTTGATAGGGTAGTAATGTCATGCTTAGTTAAACAAATATAGAGTATGGTGAATTTTCTTCATCTTCTCCATGAAATAGAAGATATGTGAGCGTATATAATTGACTGAGCAAACAAAACCAGCGGAATAACATTCTATTGTGTCCGTCAGTTTTTGCTAAAAGATTTTGCAAAAACCTCTGGGTTTTAGCAAATATCTTAAAATTTCGAACAATATGAAACATTTTAATAGGGTGATGACTCAAAATTTTTATGGAAACTAATATTTCAGAAGGAGTTTATATACTTTCAAATTGTCTATAACATCATGAAGATGATAGTATTGTTTTAACAGGTGAAACTTTTGTCGAATACTGGAATCGTGTATTTTTCATAAATCAGCTTTTGAAGCGAGAATTTAATGTATTTAACATTCGAGGAACTTCAAATTAAATTTTACAGCTTTATTCGAAGAAAATTCAAATGTCATTTCTATTACACAACTATCCGTTTTTCTTCTGAAAAAAAAACAATGTAGAGAAAAAAAGGCTGACTCTTGACGGATTAACTAATTCATATCAAGTGATTCTCTGGATATCTCATGTTGAGTGATAAAATAATACTAGACTATTTCTTAATAGTAGAGTGAATTTTTGAAGTTTTTACTAATTTTAATAATGCCCTCTGTAACTACTAGTTAATATTTAATGAAATTGTCCATACATTATTGCCGCCGAATGAGGCGATATTTTCTTGAACCCATTGTAATGCCATGAGAACATCGAGGATACCATAGTTGCCTGTAAAGCTTGCCGGAGGTCCCAAAGTGAGCCAGCCAAGAGGACCGAGTCGATAATTCATTGAAACGACAACCGCATTTGTAGCTATTCCACATCCATTATATAAGGGATCGGAGGTCGAACCTACATAACCACCTCCACCATAAATCCAAACTTTCACTGGAAGTAAAGATTTATCAGTAGCCTTGGCTGGAGCCCACACATTAAGATACAAACTATAAAAAATGCATTGTAAACTTTGTTTTGTGGTTACATCTCACTCACCAGTCCTCAGAGTAAGTGGGAGCTTGATTGGTAAATGAACCGAATTGATTGCAACCAGGTGAGAATGTTGTAGCGTTAATGCTACCATTTGGATACATTGAATTGTATGAAACTGGAGCATTCCATCGAAGAGATCCAACTGGAGGTTGAGCAAATGGAATACCGAGATAGGCCACTACACTGGTAAATGGACAAGAACAAAAGGATCCAAATATAGTTCCATTCTTCACCTTGACTGATACCGTTTGTACCCCAAAACAAACCATAAATATATTGACCAGGAATAACACTTGTAACACATGAGTATATATTGATTTCGGCATCTAAAATATAGCTCATATAAGATACTATTCAACGTTTGATGTGTATAGATTAGAAAGTTTTGCAGGAGTGTGGGACAATTGCTCACGAACAAATTTGATGCCAATTTCGATCAAACAATTCAAATGACATGACAAGACTTAATTTATTCGAACACATCTAAAATTAATTGTCGTCATCAAATGGCTAAATGCATTCAAATATTATATTTTAAATTATTAATTTTCATAATGTGACTAGTTATGTTCAGACACAACATCTATAAAGATAGTGCTATTTCTAGTAGAATTCAGTACAAAACCAATCATGCCAATTACTCTCCCAAAAACATCGAAGAATGCTCTACTACTTATACATAATGGCTTGAGGGTCAAAGTGAGAAATATAATAATTTGAAAAAGACACTTGTTCAATTGATTCTGATCAGTATATTCTTCTTTCTAGATAATTTAAGAGTCACTCTACGATCTGACTACCATAGACGACTGGTGTCGAATGTTTTAGAGTTCTCTTAGAAGAGCAACGCAAAAGCGATGTTCATGAGTATAACACAACGATTTCTACATGTTGGTATGATAAGATCTAAGTTTGGTTTTCCAATGGGTGTTCATAAGTGTTTGCGTATTTTACTAATGCCCAAATAGAGAAGGGTAGAGAATGAAAGGCAAATACAGACAACTTTCTCTTATCTTCTTTTATTCTTCAATCAAATCGTTATCCATTTCTTTACAGTCGATCTACAGCAGAAATCCGCGGAGCAGCTAAAAATCATTCCACCAATGTAACATCACCGCCTATCCGTTAATAATGCATCTCGTTACTGTCTCATCTCTTCACTACACACCCACCACCATTCCTTCTCATAAAAAAAACACATTGAGAAGCAACTATTTTTCAATTTTTCTAAGCATCTACATCAAACAAGTACTGTTGCAAATGACAGTATGCAAGAGATACAGCGGTTTACATGGTTGTGTATGATGATTGTTTGTCTCCGTATCAAATGCAAAGAAACACGATGATTTACGAAGACAACATCGCTCATTTACCGCCTTTGCGCATGAAGGTCGTATGGAGTGTCAGTTTTGCTTCATATTTCTCGGTGCATCATTGTATTGCTCTGTATATCAATGTACTATGTCAGGCATCTTAGCAAAGTTCCCATCATAGACTGTGGCAGAGACCTTGACAGCACCTCTTCCCGTCACCAGAACCCATCGGGTTGAACTCGGACTCAATCGGGTTCGGGTCTCATTCCACGAGTGATACTTTTAAAAAAAGAGCCAATCAAAGCTTGATTCTAATAAGATCCATCGCCAAGATTACTTGAAAAATTTCGAGAATGTGTTCTTGCGGGACTATCATGTGTGAAGTAAAAAACTTCATTAAGTATCAAGAGTAGCATTCGGAACCGGATCCGGATTCAAAAATTTTGGATCCAATGAGCTCTAACTGGTCAGAGACTGTGACACAGATGAGTCAGATACCATCTCGGGCGCTTTAGCAGAACTTTCTTCTTTGTCCCTCACAAACTGTGACAGACGTAACTACAAAACCGAAGTCTACTACTGGATTATTATGGAAAACGATTGACTTTAAGATACCTGTCTTTGACCCTCATGCCAAACTCACTGTAACGTATTACGATTAACATCTTTCATTACGGACATACATTAACACTACATTAGAATTGATAAACCGAACTCTATGTTGCAGAATTCTGTGATTTGTAATAAATGCAGATTCATCGTATTTCATATTTTAATCCTGCAGAGAGATTTCAGTAATAGCTTTTATCTAAGATCATAATGAATATTTGGTAAGAAAAAATTACATCAACAACTATGATATTAGTCGTGAAAGATATCGACCATGGTCGACCATTTCGACCGTGTGAAACAACGTCATAAACAGCCTGAAACAGCTATGAAATGATGTATTGCTGTCTTAAGTTTCGCTGTATTTCGTCGTAATACGTCAGTCTATTATTCCTCCCACTAGTTTCACCGTTTTACGAGCTTACATAGAACGGCGATCTAATGGCACTGATTTTCATCGTATTATATCGTTTACAATTATTTACGGCGCTATTTTTTTTTTGGATTTAAGAAATACTATAATCAATTTTGCGTCAATTTTTCTTTGGCAAGCTGGTATATATTAGGCATTTATTGTCCTTACTAAGACTTTCTTGACTTTCGTTGTATGTACGTTTGCGTTTTTTGCTGTTCTTCATGTAGCCTTGCTGAATATCTTTAAAAATAGGTATAGATTTATATTGCAGTCTATTTAGCTAGTAAATATTCTAGTGTACAGCTGTCTATTTTCCCTTCTGAAGGTATATGCATTATGCTCGCCTAATAAGTTATAACCCTTTTTTTTCTTACCTTATAATCGCAATATCGTTCTTGCTAGGAGAGAAAAAAATGTAATTCCATGCACAAGCTTGTATGCATATATATATATATATTTATATATGTATATTTGCTTGATAGAAGCCCGCCAAATGTTGTAATATTTGCTTTCAAACGATCTCACAAACGATGTTGACGAACGTAAAAATACATACATACGAACTTAATAGTTCTATCTCTTCGTGCATGATTTGAAAGCAATTGAAGGGATTCATTGTATTTAACACATCATGAAAGTAACAATGTAAATAGGTGCTCGCTCCATCTCAATTTCTACATCGTTCTACAAAAATAATCATCAACATCATTCGACGGCGAACAAGCCAGGTTTGCAGGCGACAACAAATTTCTATCAATTCTTTCTGTTTGTAGCTACCTTCCAAATCTCATCGACGATGTAGATGTGGATGTTGGTATGGAATATCGGTGTGGGGTATGGGGTATGGGTGTGACTAGCTTTTTGATGCACACCAACACCCACATCCACACCCTTGCCATGCAAAACGCATAAACGAATAGTTTGATGTTGAATGTTGCCTGTTCCACTTTATTCAACTTCATTTCCTTGATAATCGAAATTATGGCCGGTATGCCTAATACGAAGCCGACAATGATTACACCTGGGTGTGGGTGAGTTATCGGTGTGGGTAAACTGAACAATAACATCAACACCCACATCCACACCTACACCTTCAAGATATATAAGTTAGAGATATACAACATTGAACTAGCATGGAATTAAAGATTTATTTGTGTAAAAGACTCTCACTCTCGACATAATGCTATAAAACTATCACAGAGCGTTAAGAACGAGATGCGTAGTTACGGACTATCTTGATAGTGAGTGTTTTATTCATATCCTACAGCATGACTTTTAACACTTTACATTACACACTGGTTCACGGATATAGTATCTTCAATCGAAATACGTCAGACTCATACGTTCTCTCATCCATAGCAATACGCCGTGTGAAAGTACAACTTGAGAATTATTTGCTAATATAATTTTGAACACATAGTAAATCTCAATAACTTATGAATATGCTCTCCTCAATGCATGCCAACTATATCATGCAAGTGAAATCATATCAAGAAATTTTTTCTCACTTGGGATCGCGATTACGATACTAAAATCAGTACGTTTCAAACAGCACATTGTACTGTTAGTATCGCCGAATTAAGTGATACAATACGCAATTAAAACGACTTGTTTTCATTTACATATTGATGCCGTGTACCATGGTAGATCTCTAATCTAGATGTCCTGATAGTTCATTTTTTGGTGGGAATTTAGATTTGGTAGAATTAATCTCTACGAGAAAAACATCAATGAGCTTTATCCGTTCTCGTTAGTTAGTTCTTTGAACTTGTGGCTTTCAAATAGTTTAAGCAAAGAAGAGAAGCGAATAATAGAAAGTTATTTTTAACAACACATAACAATGAATATCATCGTAGTGTTAAAAGCTGTTATAAAGTTGGCTGCGGATCGTTCGAACCCTTACCCTAGGATGCATATTGAAGAAAACGCTGACAAGTATGAGACAAAATGAAACTTCTGGCCAATAATACTCAAGTGAATTAGTATCACACTTTATGACTTTCACAGTTAAGCATCGTTAGAAAGTAGTAAATATTTAGAAAAACGATGCCCGGCTCAGGTCATCTTATGGATCGTAGTAGGTATATTATGAGCATTTGCAATACGTGCTCGAATTTTCATAACAAAATGGAATTTTAGATCTTTTCTTCATGGTATTCTCAATTTTAAACGGCAAGTTCGTTTATGAATGAAGTAGTAATTGAGTAGTCAAAACTTTTTTCTACACGGAACACCGCTTGCAGAACTTCATTATGCATTATGATCAATATTTCAACATGCAGAGCGTACAATCTTGGTACGAACATGTATCAAAATAAAGAGGTCTCTATTTTTATTAAATTCAGTTCTGTAACGTTTTGTAGTTCAATTTTCTAGGCGTTACACTACAACCTTCATTAGACATTTCAAACCTGTAAATATTCTTGAATTCGATGAAATTTTGCACATCTAGATTCGAATTTTTTAAGAATTGCTGATTTATTAAGAGTATGTACATAAAATCCTTTAGCTGATATTGAACTTAATGGGTTTGGATATTTTTTTCGTATCTATCTTCAGGTTATTGGTATTCGTCAACAGAGGATCATTTCAAACTCATACTCGCACTGATAAGTCCTATCATCTTATAGAAACGCATCAGAAATATGCAAAATGTGTTTCCCAAAAATCATCAGGAGATGGAACAGTATTTGCAAGTACTATCATTTTATGGTTGAAAACACATTTGTACTAGGAACGAGCTGAAAAATGGGGTGGGTGTGAGTGTGGGTGTGGGCGTGGGTGTGGATGTGAGCGTGGGTGTGGGTGTGGATGTGAGTGTGGGTGTGGATGTGAGTGTGGGTGTGGGTGTGGGCCGGGGTGTGGCATGAGTGAAACCCATATGAGTACCCACTCCCACACCATACATCTAAATGTTTCTAAAGTTAAAAAAGAGTGGATAAGATGGACAGTATGAACATGCTATCACTCCCGTTTAAGCTAAAGTTACTGTTTCTTATGTTTGTTTTTTTCTTGTATGGATGGGCTACATAGTTGGATTTATCTCCAGCAGTACATAGACAAAAGAATCCACCTTTTCTTTTCTACAGTAAGAATTAAGAACACAACGCTGTGATTGAAGTATACGATTGATGCCTTTGCTGCAAGTACAGAAATTTATCGGGCGAAAAAACGTTGTCGATGACGTCGGCATTGATTTGATGACGGCATGATTATATTGGATTTTTTTTTCTGAAAGTACAAATATCAAGAGTCAAAGAGATTAATAAAAAAGTACATTGAAAACGAAGTAAAAACAACATTCTTCTAATATACTTCTATTACTTTTGCCACTGTTTTTTTTGTGCATATATGTATATGTAGTGAGTAATATAAATGCGGGGTAGAATGTATAAACCAATGAATAATGAAAACAAAGCTGGGTGCGGGGTGTGACTGTGGGGCGTGAGTGTGACAAAGAGGAAAAAGCAGATTTTAGCATCGAAAATCTCTAAAATCTTTCAGAATCTTTCAAAATCGATTCAAATCTTTCGAATCAGACTCGAGAAAGCTGTTTCTCAGCTATTGTAAAGACAAAACATACTGATGTTTGGGTCAAATGGAAGAGGATCCTGGATAACTCTAAGAGTGGTTCGAATAACTCTATGTTTTATCTTAACAATAGAGGGAAAACCCATACCAAAATCTGATTGGTCGATAGAAAAAAAGCTATCAACCAGTCAGATTTCAGCACGGTTTTTTCCTATATTTTAAGGTCAAAACATAGGGTTGTTCGGGCCGAGGAGAGAGTTATCCGGAATACTTTTTTATATTACCCGCACAACACTATAGTTTTTCCTTACAATAGCGAAGAAACAGTTTCCTCGAATCTGATTGGTCGATGCTTGGGATGTAGAGATCACGCTCATGAGCTCTGATATAAGGAGTTCTGAGCTTGAACTGAACGGCCCTAATGAACACAAGTGAAAATGGGTTGACTCTTATGGGTAACTTGCATATTGGAAGTACAGAAGAAACCCTCACGTCCATATGAGTATGCGCAGATTTCATGGAACTGGAATCTCCTAAAATTTCTCAAAATATTTTAAAATCATTTTAAATCTTTTGAAATTTTAAAATCTTAAAATCTGCTTTTTTTCCTCCTTGGAGTGTGAGGTGTGGGTGTGAGTGTGTGGGTGTCGGTGTGGCCATGGGTGTAGGTATGAGTGTAGATGTGGAAGCGAGTGACCAGAAGACTTTAATCCACATCCACACCTAACTCTCTATAGGTTTTCAAGAGCACATTTTTTTTAGAGTGTACCCGCTTTCCGTAGACCAGAACAGACGTTTTAATTAATACCTAATTAATTACTGACTGATTTCTAATTAATAGCTATATAATGGCCTCTTCATAGATAATTATTTAGTAATCAGTCGAAGAAGTGTTGAAGGATATAGCGAGAGAAGTGACTCATTCCCCTGCTGTTCACAAATCATGGCAGCATTCCTGTGACACTGGTAGCGACTGTACAAGACCTTGTTGATATAGAACCAACGACCGTACATCTATAATGTCTTATTATAATATACGAACTACTTCCTGACTCCAGTTCTGGAGATATAAGTGAAAGGATGATTTAGAAATGTACTGCAAAATAGATAGACTAAAAATATCTCTGTGTCATTACCAAGAGCATCTACATTGTGTTTCACATTTTAATCTCACAAAGATTGAGCTAACAGCTTTTTTGATGAGCTCAAAGAGTCTCTCTTAACAATTGATTAGATGGTTTACCGCTTTCCTCTTTATATGAGAATTATCTGACCGGATTGATAAGATAACTAAAATAAAACGATACCAATAATCATTACAGTTGCAAATATGATTATTACTGATCATTTCATGATTAATTACTGCTATTATTACAACGTATGAAGCTAGTCTTTTTATGGAGAGTTGTTTTTAAAAAAAATTAACTTCAAGTAGTTATAGAGGTAATCTTTGGTTCTACTATGTTCAGTTATGACTAAGGACTTAAAAAAACAATTAATGCAATATTGACAACTCGATTAAACACTCAACGTCTTAATAATAATAAAAATTAAACAATAAATTCAGCCATGTAACTATATGATACATCAGTGTTTTTAGACAAAGCTTATCTTATTGTTGAAAGAAATATATTTTTATTTTCAAAATAGTTTCATAATGTTCATTGTAAATTGTTTTGAACAAGCATATCATAATAAGCTCCATGTCTTTGTATCAATTCTTCATGTGTACCACTTTCTACTATATGTCCTCTATCAAGTACACAAATCAAATCACATGAACGAATAGTTGATAGACGATGAGCAACAATAAGTGATGTTCGACTAGAATCTTCTGTTTGAGCTTGTTCAAGAGCACCTTGTACAATCTATAGTTAACACGCGAAGATAAAGCTTTGATTCATACATAGAAAAAAAACAAACAAACCTACTTGTTCATTGTATGAATCCATGGCACTCGTAGCTTCATCTAAGAGCAATACTTTAGGTCGACGAAGAAGAATACGAGCAATAGCAATACGTTGCTTCTCACCACCTGACAAGAAACTGCCTTTCAATCCTACTTTTGTTTCATAACCCTAAAATGAATATAATAAAATAGCAATAGATACGTTATATAATTTTGTATTGTTTAACCTGAGGCAGTTGCTCAATAAATTGATGAATATTAGCTCTACGTGCTGCATTGATAATGTCTTCCATTGAAATATTTTCTAAGGCATATGCTATATTTTCAGCAATCGTTAAATCGAACAAAATTGGTTCTTGACTGACAAGGCCAAAATGAGAACGAACCGAATTAAGGTTTAGTTTTCGAATATCAATGCCATCAAGAAGCTTAAATGAGTGAAAGAAATTTACATAATTACTTATACTATACATCGAAGAAATACTAACTATTTGACCACTTGTAACATCATAAAATCGTTCTAACAGTTGAATAATTGTTGACTTCCCACATCCAGATGCTCCTATATGAACCATATTACATAATTAATATTTAAAAAAAAACATTTAATTCAAACATACCAACAAGAGCTACACATTGAGCTTATCAGTAAATAGAAATTTAAAACAAAATGATGATGATTATATCGAAATTTACCTCACTTACTTGGTTTGATATTCAATTGAAATGCGTTAAGAATAATAGATGTTGACCGAGTTGGATAGATAAATTTGACTTGATCAAATGTTATCTCGCCATGAAAATCAACCTATAGAAATCATATTACATCTGTCGCATGTACATGATTGAAACGAAATAGATCTCTTCCATAGTCTCGTACCAATTCTTGTCCTTCAGTAGATGTATTGTCGATAGATGGTATTCGATCAAATAAATCAAAAAACGCTTCAACACTTGAAATTGATGAAGCGATACGGCTAGACCTAGAATGGAGACAATAGTAGAGAAAGAAAAGTACAAATTGAAAATGTTACATCATTCCAATGATTCTTAGTACTTCGATCGGAAAAGTAGCAAAAGCAATCACCCTAATAAATTCAAAAACCAACAAAACATTGTCTCTAGATTATGAAACTGTGGTTGCAATTACATTAAAATATCGTTCAACATGAGTTCTTTCTTTTCAAAGAGGCCGAGTGCATACCAATACAGGAATGCCATAGTGAATATATCTAGTGTCCAGTATATGCCATATGCAATGGAACTTAGTATCAAAGGTTTCCAAGACAGTCTATGATGAAATAAGATTGATTAAAAATTTATAAATGCATAATATTCGAGTGACCAACATTAGTGTCGGATGAATAAGTTCAGAATATTGTCGTAGAACTTCCTTTTCTACTGACAGTTGTTTTATTGTACGCATATTGTGAATAACTTCACCGGCGAGCTACACAAATAAAAGATACAATAAATGTAATATATTCGATTTATCAAAGAATTAACATGATTGTAGTTATCTCTACAGGAAAAGATCATTAGCTAAAACCTGATTTTACCGTGCTTGCTCGTTCAACAATATGATTGGATTGTTTAGTTGTCCATAGGCCTATCCGTACATCCCCATAAGTGATTATACATAGGATAAAAAGAGAACCAAAAACGATCAATATTAATTGCCAACTTATGAGACATCCAAATAATATTCCAAAAAATATCACTGTGAGAGCTTCACAGATGACTCCTAATCTCGTATTACTCATCTCTTGCACAGCTGTTGCATCAGAAGAAAGACGAGTACAAATGGTATTAGAATTGTTTTCAGGTCGATCGAAATAAGCAACTTCTTGACGAAGAAGACATGCAAATGCTTTCGAACGAATACGTTGTGCCAATTTCGATCCTGATATGACGAAAGCTGTATACTATAAAAAAGAGTGAATAATCATGAATCAAATTCAGAAGCAGCATTTTTACTTGAATGAAACGAAAAATCAATAAAAGAGCACCCGTAAGTAAAAAAAGAGAACTGATAATCATCACTTGACGATTTCGTTCAGAGGATGAACAATATTTGAATGCCTACACAATAAAAAAAATCGACATAAAACAATTTATATTGTCAATCTTTTTTGCACAATATCTATATAGACGGATCACTCACATCAACTACTTTGGCAAGTAAAAATGCGAACATTGGTTGAGTTGCTCCACTAAGTACACATGCTATACAACCAATCAAGATGGTGATCCATTCAGATTTATTCATTAACAGGAGTCTTATCACGACAAATATTTTTCTCAATGGCTTTGAACTCTGCTAAAACAAAGATTATCATTAATGGTTATTATAAAAAATTGCAATAGTATTTGTACTTTGTTCACATCAACAGTTGGACTATTACTCAGCAAACGAGTTTGTTCAACTATTCAATAAAAAAGATGAAGAACAGTGAAGATCATCACATTAAGAATATCAACAGACTTATCGACTTGTTATAGTCTTCTGTGTCTTTTTGCGAGAGCATCATAGTATCTTCATCATCATTGATTCTTTCCATTTGTTGGTGTTTAACCATTGATTGATACTTACCTCCTTCTTTTGCTATCAATATTTCATGTGTACCTTGTTCAATCACAGTTCCATTATCTAATACATATATTTGATGAGCATTTTGAATTGTAGTCAAACGATGAGCAATTACAATAGTTGTACGACCTATACAGCATGTTACACCCATACAATAAGCAGAAAATCAATCGCTACCTTTACACGTTCGATCGAGCGCTTCTTGAACAATTTTTTCGCTAATATTATCAAGTGCACTTGTTGCTTCATCAAGTAAAAGAAATGTAGGCTGTTTGACAAGGGCACGAGCTAATGCAATACGTTGTTTTTCACCACCACTCAACTGTATACCACGTTCACCAACAAATGTTTCATATTTCTAAACAAGAAATAATGATACGTATATATAGATAGAGATGTGTATGTGGTACAAACATTTGGTAATTGCATGATGAAATTATGTGCATTTGCTTCTTGTGCTGCTTGTTCGATTTCTGCTTGTGTTGCATCTACTTTACCAAGACGAATATTTTCATAAATACTCATACTAAACAGAATCTATTGTGATAGTGAATTAAAAAGAAAGCAAGAAAAGAAAAACGAAAAAAAAACGTACAGGTTCTTGACTAACAATCCCAATGTTTTGCCGAAGTTGTTTAACACAATAGTCTGTTATCGGTCGGCCATTAATCATTATTTGACCCGATGAAGGTTCATAATAACGAAGAAAAAGTGATATACATGTACTTTTTCCTATGAACAAATTATTAATACGAAAGAGATTTCTTTAGTGTCTTTATTTTAGAAAAGACTTACCAGAGCCACTTGAACCTACAAGAGCAGTTGTCTGACCAGCATGAGCAATAATAGAAAGATTATGCAGAGCTGGTGTATCTTCTCGAGATCGATAAGTAAAGTTAACATTGTTAAATTCAATATCACCATTGATATCATAAATTGGTTCTGTGTCTTCTTTCCATACATCTATTTCATTGACATTTGAGTCATTTCCCTATATCATGCGAACAAATAGAGAACATTGCTATCGTTATGAGACCTGAATTCATTTGAATTTACCTCGTCAATAAGTCTAAATACCGTTGCTGCTGCGCCTCGAGCTTCTGAAAATGATTGAACAGAAGGAACAATAAAACTGAACCAGACGATGCTTTTTGCAAATAGCCGGACGACCTGCATTAAGAAATTAATCAAATCGTCATTTCTATTTTGACTGATAATATGGATTACTTACAATAAAAATGCCACTGATATCCAAGCTATGGTAATCTTTGCTTGACATGAAAAAAGAACCAAAGAAGAAACCAACTGCATAAATTAGATAGGTCATCAGAGATAACCATCCAGTAAAAATCCCAAACATTGCTCCTTGACGTATACTACTCCAACGAGCTGAATGCAACTCTCTTTCATATCTAAATGCAATAAAAATAGCAACATGTTTTATCATGCTAAAAACTAAGGTACGTTTGTATATTCTTTTACCGTTTTTGTTCAAATTTGCTACCATTGAAAGAAAGAATAGTTCGCAGTGAGCTAAATACTTCTTGAACGATTTGTTCCGCTTTTGCATATGCCCTTAACTCATTGATTGCTTCATTAGAGACGAGCTGTGATAATTCATACAGTTTTAATTTATTGAACAATACATCATACCTTAGAAAACAGAAATAAACTACCAATGATCAAAGTAAACAAGCATAACATGATCAGAGTTAATTGCCAGTAGACAAAGATAGATACTGTTAAGGAACCCATGATAGTGACTAACGTTGCGATCAATACTAAGAAATCAAAACCAATGCCTTTCTCGATCTTTGAAACATTACTGTACAAGAATTGAATCACATGGAATTATTTGATAAAGAATATGACAATAACTTACTCAAATAGTTTAGTATGGAATTGACTAGCCGGTTTGGTATCCATATAAGGAATGCTCTAAAAACAGTCAGAGTTGGGCAAAGTCAAATCCATCTGTAATTTTAGAGTTTTCGATAATTCTATTGTGACTTTGGTTGTAAAAACTCATGTTCTATTAGATCTTAGTTTGAAAAGTTGAATCCTTTTGAATGTGCTTCTGCAATCGATGCCTTTACTCTCAGCTTTTTGATTTTCACTTGACAAGTTACAAAGTCCACGTAAGTTTTATCGTGATTGAGATAAATTTATCAACTCTACCGATGTAAAACAGAAACTATGATGGTTCACTTATTAGTTACTTTTGCCACCAATTTCAACTTATTAGTACTAATAAGTTGAAATAGATGGCAATAGGGATGTGCAGTTTCGGTGAAAACAGTGAATTACTGACAGTGATGCCACTGCACTGAGCGCACTGACTGCAATGACACACTGACACTGGTGTTCACTGAATCAATACATATACTGACACTGACTGCTTCGGTTGCAGTTAGGGGTACGCAGGCTCAGCTCAAGCTCACAAATAATGAGCCGTTGAAAACGCTCACTGAGACGAACTGAATTATTCGAACAGTTCATTCGAGCGAACTGACCTTTCTCAAACAGCTCATCTCACATGAGCTGAACTTTTAGAACAGCTCATTCGAACGAATCGAGCTTTTTCAACAGCTCATTTCAAATGAGCTGAACTCTTCGAACAGCTCATTCGAACGAACCTAACTATTTCTAGGGGTACTGATAGGTTCTCGAGGGCTACTCTATAGCAGGCTTCGCAGCGAAATCTCTACAGTCAACGTCATTTCCTGATTTCCTGATTTTTTCTGCGTTGACTGTAGCGATACGCTGCGAAGCCTGTACTATAGAGGTGCCTATACGTCCTCAAGTCCTATTACTGGGGGATACCCTTGGGTCCTCAAGTCTTATTATTGGGGGATACCCTTGGATCTTCAAGTCCTATTATTGGGGGTACCCTTGGGTCCTCAAGGACAAATGCCAAAGCTGTATTTTCGCTGTGTTTCACTGGGTAGGAGCCCATACATATACCCATCAATCGATAGAGCATCCTCGATAACCCTATGGTCGGCCCGAACATGGCTACGTTTTGTCCTTACAATAAGAGAAAAGCGGCTCCTGAAATCTGATTGGTCTATTTTTAGACCAATCAAATGGCAGTATCCTATTTCTCAGTGAGGGGACGGGTGGGCACCCCTACATA